GAAGATATATGAGGGAGTGGAAATATAGCTTCACCATTCCTGACCTCAGCACGAGATAGAGGTGAGTTGTCAGTTTCACCCCCCAGCCGTGTTACCTCCGGTACTTATTGGACAGGAGGCTGGGTGGTCCCTGTGACCGATCTGGGTGCTGTGGAGAAGATAACAATATTGCCCCTGCTGGGAGTCTAACCCTGGCCATCCAGCCCGTAGCCCATTACTAAACTGACTGAGCTATCCCTACTGCCAGAAGTTACAGGACTATACGGTGAAGTGAGAAACTCAGTTTAAAAGAGAAGTACTTTTATGTGAGGTAAGAACTGAACTCCTGACTATTGCTTAGAGTGACGTTGACGTAAAGTTGTATATAACGTGAGAGCCTGTAGAGATGAGACAGACGGAGCTTTCTGACAAGGGACATCAGTTGGTTTAGACATGCAGGAATGGCCGGTTCTTTGACCACGATAACAATCCTTTGGGCACTGGGCGCCGGTATAGGGGCAAGCAAATTTTCGCCCCACACTAAATTAAAATAATTAAAATTGCAAAGGAAAAAGAAAATATATAAAACATCAATATAAAAAATTATAATTATTTAATATATATATTGATGCGTATACCCGTTGCTAGACAACGGATCGTTAAACACATTACTGCAATACAAGCACACTCGACAATAGAAGGACAACCAAACAAGCATTACTGACAACAGAAGGCAGTGTTTACTATGGGGTCCGTGCCGATGACTTATAAGAGAGCACAGTCAGAAGACGGGACGGAGTATAGAACAGTAGTCGAGGGAATTGGGTCAAGTTCTGGAGATGCCAATCGAAACTGATTGAGAAGAAATAGCAAGAAAGGGATTCGACTGTGACAAGAAGACTTCAGTTGAAGCGACAGTGATAAATCCGTTGCCAGGATAAGACTAGAGAAGACTGAGAAACCCGGTGAATGTGTAACGGTGAATTGCAGAGTGTGTGTATCAGCGATAGCTGTGTTGCCTTTTGTCCCGAACTTCGTGAATGTATAAGGTGCAAAAAAAATCCAACCATCCAACCCAAAACCCCGTCTATAAGTCACCCCTACGCGTGACAATATATATATATATATTATATTTCTCCATCCAACATACTCGAGGGTGATCGCTAACAGCAGCATTAAATTATGTAAATTTGTAAGAAAATTTCATGGATTCTCCCACCACTGCAAAATTGCTCTCCCCTTAAAAGGGAGATCTTGAGGACGTCAATGTTTTTCGATCCTATAAAACCATGGAATTGCGTGACTTACTGCATCAAGAACTTATATATATTTGCATATTTAGTTGTGTAGTCATCTCGTTCGCCAGTCGGTTCGTTAGTTAATGTCATGTTAAAACGCAGCTAGATCTGCAGACATGGAACATGGACATAATCCGACATGACGCGTAGGCTGGTGGCTGAGTAATTAAAACATGGCGCGCAGGCGCACACACACACACACGCAGCTCTTAGCAGATAACGGACGATGATTAAACTAAAATTTAAGCTGTCCACAAAGCAACATTAAACGAATCCTCCTGCATTAATTTTTCACTCCCTCTTCGTCCTGTAATTAGATACATTGTTTCGCCCTAGATGCTTCGCAGCGGTATCTGCACGGAAGATCTCGGTGCCCATACCGTACTCCTTCTTCAGTATCTGCGAAAATTAATCACGAGGTTCTCCGTGGAAAGTTAATCCTTTACAACCTACGTATATTCTGCTTGTTTTAACTCTTATCTAACTCGATGAAACAGAGTCTACATTCGAAAACTAATTGCTGCATAGATAAGCAAGAAATTCCCAGAATTTTATGGAAAACAAACCAGAAAATTATAAGATTTGGGGTATTCATGGCGGTTAATATGAAGAACGCCGTCTTCTGGGATGTGGAACTCTGTATATCTTGTGTGAACCGTTTCGGAGAAACAATTCGCCACTACTCTGAAGATGAAGGCGATACGTTCTTCCGAAACGTCGGTTCACACAAGATCTACATGGTGTCATATCTCAGGAAACGGCATTATTCCAACCAGAAGGTCCATTAGCGTGCCCACAAGACCCCGCCAATGGACCCTATGCTGAGGTAGACGAATCCTGTTCTCATAATAACAAACTATTTCTTTAGGATCAATTTTAATATTACCCTCTTATTTATGCCTAGAACTTCCAAGTTCATTAACACTTTGAAGCCTGAAATTTATCTGAATAAGCTTTAACAGTTTCGCTCCTAACTCAAAGAAAATATACTGAGTCTCCATTTTACAGGAAAATTGGTTAATTTTTTTCAGATAAATAATCGCTCTTTGTTTTGAGAAGCATATGAAGACCACAGTGCCCTCTGTTGGTAACACTGAGAGTACATAACGTTTAAACAGGTTTTATATAAAATTAACGCTAGGTTTTAAAGCGTTAAGCTTAAATAACGAAATATTTCTCTGATATAATTCATTTATAGTGGTTTCTAAATTTCAAGAATATATGGTGATAGTTTTTTTTAATTCTCTTAGTGGGGGGTGGAGTTCAACTGGGTCCACTCGACACGGCGGCCACTGATTAGCCTATTGTACCTACCTCGTGTGATTATGATGATGGAGAATTTGGTGGAATTAAGATTGGCCGGGGAAACCAAAGTACTCGGAGAAAACCTGCCCCCGCACCACTTTGTCCACCACAAATCCCACTTGACCAGACCCGGGATCGAACCCGGGCTACCACGGTGGGAAGCCAGCGACTAACCGCTTAGCTATGGAGCGGCCGTTGGTGTAGTTAATCTAAAAACATTATTAATCATCTGTTCGGTGTACTAGAGATGCAGAGTGTTTTCTTGGAGTTAAAAACTGACTTTGTTATTTAAACGCTTGTAATTCATGTTACCAACAAAGCAACAGCGTATGCGTTAGAGAACCGTCAGGGAATGGCCAATATATATATATATATATATATTTCTGCCTTACTGCTGGCCAAAACTCTGCTTGAACCCGGAAGGTCCTGCACGTCTCGACACGAGTTTTATTGGTTATCATCAGTTTTTAAGGAAATTCTGATGTGTTTTCCAAGTTCCAAGTTGCCACTGCGTGTTTATTATGCAGCTGTCAGGAGTTAAATTCGTTAAAAATTAAGATCCAGTGATGTCAGAGCTATTAAATTAATTTTTCAAAAATATACCTCAACACTAATTAAGGAAACCAAAATTTATGTGCCTTTGTCTTACGCCACTGCTTCTAAACATCCTATTTTCGGTTTCATTCTATTCTTATGAGAAGGACGAGCGGGCGAAGCCTGGGAACCTTATAAAAAAACGATGTCCTTTCTCTGTCCTTGTCTTTATCTCTCTCTCTCCCTCTCTCCTTCCCTCTCGCTCTTTCAACATAAGAAGCTGAGAAACTGTTAGAAGTGTGACATATAAATTATCATTTTCGTAGAATATAATTTTTTGTCTTACTGCAACGTGAAAAAATTAATTTTGAAGGGTACAATCTCCTGGGGCATGAAGTCGTGCAGTCTCGCATAAGCCTACAGATATTTCGGGGCGACTGACTGCCTCTGACTTCAGGGCCGAAGGGTAAGCCAAACAAGCATCATTACGTCCATGATTTATTTTATCCGTCTTCTAGTGCATACATTCATCTATCCCCTCTTCTCACTCGCACTACATGTTTCGGCACAAAAGTGCCATCTTCAGGTGCTGATCCAATCCACGACAAACTATAACACACGCAGTCACAGGAGCGAGACGCAACACAGAGCACAATACACGATAGTGAAAGAGTGCTCCAACAGAAGATGATAAACGTGACTCGCGTAATGAAACACGACGTAGGAATAAAATATCCTGTACAATTTCAATATTTTAACACTTAACATTTATCAGTATATAAGATAAATATATATTTTAGTTATTTTAGTATGTATAGACAAGGCATGCAATGAACTAGTTTGTCGTGGATTGGATCAGCACCTGAAGATGGCACTTTTGTGCCGAAACATGTAGTGAGAGTGAGAAGAGGGGATAGATGAATGTATGCACTAGAAGACGGATAAAATAAATCATGGACTTAAATCAGTGCAACAGGACGCTAAAATATAACATTAAGCATCATTACATTTTGTGAAACGCGGGTGTACTTTGAAACTCCTCCATTCGTATTTTCTCTATCTGTTCATTACTTATTCTTTCTTGAGTTTAATTCGAAAAACAATATGTAAACACAGTTTCTTGACCTCATTTACACAGTCCTCTGGTTCAGATCTGCAACTGACTCATTGTTCCAATTTATAATATCTTGACAAGGACAACGTATTATTATTATTATTTTGGAGGGGGTGGGTTTCCCCATCCACTGCGACTAGTTATTAATCTATTGTGTGTCCCCCTTTAATATTCTACCAGTCGCCATGCCCTTCCAGTACTGGTGCTCACTATCAGCCCCGTTCTGCCAGCGAGGTCGGCCACCTCTCTGGCAGTGGTCCCCGATACTTCTGGACAACGTAGAAAATACCGTTCATTTTTGTAGTTCAATTGTTGCCATGGGAACATATTTGTTTGGCAAGCCATTACTCAACAACGGATGCCGTATATTTGCTTATTCTGCGGCCGTTGCTTAGCAACTGGTGTTATATATAGTCATTACTTTGCAACGGGTCTACATGCTACAATACAAATTTAATTTTTCTCAATGATATTTTCGATAATGCAATATTTTTAGATAAAATACATTTTTGAAAAAAAAAAATATTTTAAGCCAGATATGTGGTTTGTGCTAAGTAGGAGCTATATTATTTCGATAAAACTCAAAATAAAATAAGCCCAACAGTTTTGATTACAGAACCCCCACCCAGTATAGAATTTAATTGAAATCGGTCGGCTGATTTCGGCGGAGAAGCACTCTATCGGATGGACATATTGCCCTTGTCATGCGTCCGCTACCGAACTTTGTGTAATGGACACGTACTAATCCCTTCGTGTTATTTTGATTGCAGATGCGGTGTGAGTAAGATATGAGGAGTTAAACTTGGCCAGCAATACGCATAGCAAGATGGCACGCAGCGTGTGATGTGGCTTAATATGTACGTAAGTTTATACTTAGAACGCATCACAACTTCACATGAGATTCTTCTTTTTCATAACAAAAGAAATTTCATTTATTTCTCTTATATTAAAAATCTTTTAGAATCTATGGGAGACACGCGGTAGCGTAGTTGGTTGAAACGATAAATGATACAAACTCCGTCCCAAGTGCAAACAATATATTATATGTCCTTGATCTTGCTCTCTTTTACACTACATGTGTAGTGTAAAAGAGAGCAAGACATACGGCGAGTAACCCTAACAATTTTAAATTTTAAATTTTAAAATTTAGAGAAAATTTTAAAGGACTTTATAATTAGAACTAAAGATTTTATAGTGCTACTACAGGAAAATCTAAATTAACGTGTGTAACAAAAATAATCTACAAACCAGACAGATATCAACGAAGTAGATGTTGATAATAACAAGGAAAGGAACAAAGTGTTTTTTAAATGTTAAATTTTAAACTAACTGCTGTGTAATAGCAACGTGAGAATATACACCTGATGATGGCCGTTTGAGGTCGAAACATGTAGTGTAAAAGAAAGCAAGCTCAATGACATATAATATATTGTTTGCACTTGGTACGGAGTTTGTATCATTTATCGTGTAGTGTGCAACAGGATGCTTAAATATAATATTGGTTGAAACATATGCTACAAGCCAGAAGATCGCGGGTTCGATTCCATACGAGGTCATTGGATTTTTCAATTGACCTAATACTTCCAGCCGCACTCTGGCCCTGGGGTCGACTCTGTCTCTAACAGAAATGAGTAAGAGGACTCTTCCTGGGGGGTGAAAGGGCTGCCGGGGAGGAGGGCTGACAACCTTACTGAAAAGTAACTCTCCGAACTGCTGACATACATGATTGCATGCATTTCAACTGAATATGGCGTTATATTGACTTCAGCCTGACAGTCTCACTCCTCCTTTTCTGAAACCCTCTGACTCCCTCCTCCTCCCACAGGTTGAGAAGCACTGAATTAGACTTTCTGAGATATGTCCTTAATTCAGTTTTAACTTGATTTCGCATGGCACGCATGAGCACAGCTTCGGGTCACTGACGAAACATCGATACACTCCGGTAGAAGATCCGCTTGGCAGCGTGCAAGGTGCCGAAAGGCACAGACGCTGTCCGTCTGCTAATTTCCCAACGAACGCACATCAGACAAGGCTGACGTAGCTACTGGTTCCGGCCGGTGTGTCTGTCCCCGCTGCAAAAGAAACGCCCTCCAAGCCATATCACTTACCCGCCTTTTTTCCTTCTTACTTATTTCCATTTCTTTCATTGTTTTTATTTTTTTTACATTCTCCCTTTCTTCCTTCTGGTTCTTTTGTCCTTCTTTGTTTATTCCTCTCTTCTTCCTGCTTTACTCATTCCTTCTTTCCTTTCTGTTACCTTTCTATTTTTCTTTCTCATTTTCGTTTTGCTTTCCTCCATACTCTCTTTCTAATGTTCTTTCTTTTTTCCTCCCTGCTTCCTTTGTACATGTCTTCCTACCTCTTTCTTATTTTCTTCCAGCTTTCTTTTCTTCTTTCTTGCTTCTTCAATTCCTTTCTATCTCACTTCTAATTTATTTCATACTTCCTTTTATTTCTTGATTGTTTACTTACTCTCTAGCTTTATTTCCTTCCTGTTATTTTCCATAATTTAAGTCTTCCTCTCTTGCCGCAGATCTGACTCAAGATGGCGGATAACGAGAAGCGAAAGCGTCTCGTGTACCGCGAGAGGGACGGAGAGGTTACGGTCGTGGAGAAGACGAAAAAGAGTTTCTTCTCCAAGCTGTCGCCCAGAAACCTGTTCAGAAGCTGCAAGGGCAGCAAAAAGACGGAGTTCAGCATGCCAAAAGTGGAGAGAAGTATGTTCAGATTATAATAATTTCGCATGTGTTTTTTCTTTTATTGCTAGTGGGGTGGGACTAAGTCCCTTGTACTGCGGCCACTTCTGGCCTATTGTACCAGCCCCAGATGATAGGTGAGGGTGACTGTGGAGCAATTGGTGGAATGAAGATTGGTAGGGGGAACCGAAGTACTCGGAGAAAACATGCCCCAGCGCCACTTTGTCCACCACAAATCCCACTTGACCAGACCCGGGATCGAACC